CTTAAGAAAATTAAATTTTTAAACTGACTCGCCTCATTTTTAAAGTTCATGGATCACATTGTAAGCGATACTGAAAGGGAAAATATTTCAGTAGTATCAGCCTTTTTTAACAACAAAAACAAAATATTATTCAAGATTATATAAACATTTATTCATTCCACAGAAGTATTACAGTAATCGTGGGGGATATACAAGGAATTTGCTTTCCGGATAGTCACTTCTACCACACCCAATTTACGATTGTTGAACACATGCCCTGACAATAGAAATTTGAAGTTAACAATATTTATGTCATTACTAAGCGGCTAGACAAGTTTCATCTACCTTAATTTCTGGTTTCAAACAAGGGGAGCAAGCATACATGTCCACTTTGCCTAGTGCTTTTTATGAATCAAAGAATAATTCGAAATACTTCTCTAAATTGTTTACCACTAGATCTTCGTCTTCCCGCAAAGGTTTATCAATTGAATTTCAAGTAGATAAAATAGACTTGGAGCAGTTTCAATTTTACATTCGCCGTTGATAGTTAAATATTCCACCCTCGAAGTATCCACTAATCTGAATTTTTTTGATTATAAATTATTTGCAGACAAATAGAGTAAGAAAAGTTTTTTTTGCAATTATCGTTAAGTTCCATTTTTTGCAAAAATAAACTTGCTCAAATTTCACAATAAACGGTTCATATAGTAGGCAAGCAGACATAATATGACCCTATCAGCCTAAACGAGGCAAGTAATTTTTGAAATGCAAGGAATTTGTGTAGAATGATAATATTCAAGACCATGAGATATTTTAACCCTACTCGGAATCACTTACTTTAATTCAAAGGGCTCGGTGGGCAGATTTAAATTTAAGAAAAAATCGCTTAGTTTAAGTCCCTACAGCCAGCACGATAAGTGCTCGATTTCGATACTTTAATGACATTTTGGGGATTAGATAATATTTAAATAAGAACGGAATCATTTCGCAATATATAAAGCTTAAAGTAACTTATTGTCAAATCCCTCCTTATGTTTTCCATTGGAGAATGTTATATTAGAGGTATTGAAAAAAATTTGAATGAAAAGAACGAAAATTTGTGGAGTTATTTCGTATGCCGCTAGAAAAAGTTTCAAGTACACGTTACACAGGGCTATATGACTATGTTCGGAAAATAGGACAATCAAAAGATGTTTAGATCATTTAACACTTTGGCACGGCCACCTTCATCCTATTATAAAGAAAATTCTTAAAATTTCTCTTCATTGCCACAATTTTGAGATTATTTTGCTGATATATTAATTTTCAATCATTTTGCGTGGTTTTCCTCCCACCCTTTACCTTTACAGGCGCAGAAGATATACCGTGCAAAATGTGAGAATAAGCTAAGAATGTCATGAAGTGTAAAGAGAACGATGTTATAAATAAAAAGAATAACCATGAGACTAAAATTATCCTGCGAAATACGTCTGTTATCCTAATGCTGTCATTCTTTCCCTCAATCATTATAAATGAATAAATTCAACATTTAGTTTCATTAGAAATATTTGTTATATCACACAGCGTCAACGTCCTATGTACATATAATGTTGTAGGCACTCGAGTAGCACGCACACACTTACCATTAGAGAAAAATGCATTTAAACACGCATAAGTGCACGTACAAGGGATTTAGAAAAAAAAAATCCCTTTTATTTCAAAGTATAGTTTAACTTATGTCAAAACTTTTTTACAAAGTTTGAATAATTGAAACAAAATAGTTTATGCAGGAAAAAACCACCCCAAAGATACGAGTTATTTTTCGGACAAAGAAATAGAGTACGAAACGCCTCAGCAGGAGAAAAATTGAACTAAACTATAGTAATAGTTTTACGTTCCATTCTTAAAACCAATGCTTCTTATGGTTAATTATGTGCTGCTTATGCGGTCATGGCTGCATCCATAGATGATTTCCAACAGGAAAAAGTTCGTAAATTGTATGATTGTTGCTTTCACAATGAAAAGTCTACGCAAATGTAGTCAACCTGTGCTGTGAGTGTATGGCTTACTTTTATCGGCTTTGCTCGATTTGGTCTCCTTCCCAACTTTAATACTACATTTAATAAAAGTCAATAATGATAATTAGAAATTTTGAATAATTGTTGAAGAGGAACTCACATCGATCCACACCATGTTTTGGTTGAAAGCACTGCTGGCTTGACAAATCCAGTTAATAGATTCCATTACCGAACGGCGTCGACTAACTGACGCTGTGGACGTGGGCGAGGTTTATTCTCAGCGGTACTTAAACGCACAGCACTTGAAGCAATGGCTCTTTACGGGAGAAATCTTCTGTTGATTTAAAATACTACTACGTGCGGAAATCCATCCCCTCTCCCTTCCTCTCTTGACCAAACTTGCCACTTTGGAAATCACAATTCTCTACGATTCGCCTGTGATTGTACAAACTACATTCTTTTGACTTACATACTATACTTTATTTATATTTTCCGGAATTTCAGGTAATTGCCAATGACATCCGATTTAACTGGTTTTTAAACTTGAGGAAGCGATCTTCTCAGAGAAAATTTTAACGTCAAGCATGAACCCACAGAAAGGGAACTCTTCAATGTTCAGGCTGTAATTAACAAAAAGGGAAAAACCAGAAATTATTTGGAAATTGTGGACAGGTCCGTAGATGGACTTGGTTGCTTTTGTAGACTACAATTACAAGCGGCTACAGCGTAAGCACAAATGAGACAAAAATTAATCGTTTCTACCTTTCAGTTAGTTATGTTTATATACCCTTTCAATAAATCAAATTTGCTTCTTGTGCCGATGAAATCCGTATTTTAAAAAAAAGTTTAACTTACGTAAGCTTTAAAAGCAAAAAGGAAAAGAACGATATTCGAAATTGAAATTGGCTTTACGTGCGGTGCATTTAGTTGTAGTATATATAAAACCTTTTAACTTATATTTGTTTATAAATTTTTAATGCTGATCCGGCTCTTCTTTGTTGTTCTTCCACATCTCGTCGGGAAATATATTTTTGCTTTTATTGTTTTTAAGAAAAAACCATGACAGAATGAAAGTACAACTGACACCTGTCTGACTTCCCTGCACTTGTACTAGAGAGTGACATCGAAAAACACAGCAAAAAGTACTACATAGAAAAACAAAATCGAAAAAGAAACTATGTTTTATATTGAGTTTGACGTTTAAGTAGGCAGTCACAACACAACATGACGTTTAAAACGTACATCACACAGTCTATACACGGTGTATGTTTGTGCGCTTAGCGTGGAGAGAGAGTAAAATTCTTTTTTCAATATTTTTATACTCTTTCCACGGATGAAATGATTTTGCACTTTCGACCATTTTAATAATTAATATATAAAGAAATTGTTTTATTTTATCGTCTGTCAGTTTGACAGTTCAATAAAAATAATTCATAAAGAATGGAAAAGAGGTCAAAGAACAAGCAAACAACACCGCTTTCCTTTCTTTTTTTTTTTTTTTTTGCTTGTTTCGTAGAAAAGATGTTTAGCGTTTCAACTCAATAAAATCTCACACTATATGCGAGCATATATACGAGCATTTTCCAAATCAAATCAAAAGGAAAAAAACATGCTTCACTCATTTAAATGTTAAAACTTGTTGTCGTGTTTCGTGTGATAACAAAATTTACCCATTGATGAAAAAGTTTTTATTCCGATTATATATTAAATTTGATGGCTTTATAGACTAATAGAACAAACTGTTTATTTCTCTTTATTAATTTAAAAAGGAGATGAAGAAAGCAAATAGTCGGCTGTGGCTTCAAAATTTAATTGATCCCGTTCAACTCTACACCCGGATGTATGTTTCAATTTTCGACACTGTAGTTAAACGCTTTAATTTTCTATTCGAAACGAAAAGGTTTTTGAACGATCGCCTTCTGAGTTTCGAGAATGGGGTTAAATCAGGCAATTCATCTAGTGACGGAATGATTGTGTGTGTGAGATAAATTTCTTCTGGAAACCTGGTGATGCAATAACCAAGAGTAGTCTAATCGCAATTCTACCCGTTTCTGGCATATGACGCTTTAATTAAACTCCTTTTTTAGCAGATTGACTCGACGAAATCAGTTAATACCGCCTCCCATCAAAGAAGTGGGATTCATAATCTGAGTAGTTGCGGAAAAACATTTCAATATTTTATTAAATCACGAAACAAAAAACTTCTCCAATCGACCTAAATATACCCGTGAGAAAAATGAAAGATTTCATTTCATTTGGCATACAAAGCCTTAAAAAAGTTTATAAACGACATGGCTCTATTCTTGGTGACGAACCTAATGGAAGGCCCCTGGATTGTCATGTCGATTTTTTCCCTTTTCTTTTTATTTCTTGAATTAAGGTGGCTGGCACACACAGATTTATCTTCTTTGATCATTGGAAAATGTGTGATAATAAACTGCGATAATAAGCCTCTGTTAGGGGCTTTGTAATACAAAGGCCGCCTTCGACACTTTATATGCCTGTGCTATGTTTGGCAACGGAAACTTTCATGATGGTCGTACTCAAGTTCGCAAGATGGACGCGAAAGTGTTTGACTGTCGCATTATATTATCTTATCGATCCGATAGCACAAGGGAGTGGCGCTTTCTCATAATCAAGGGCTTTTGGCCTTTTAGAATAGTCTTCTCGCAGACAAATGATTGGCGCAAATTTGATATATATATATATAATATTTAATCCCGCGTTCGTGTGCGTGTGGGAAAAGAGAGCATGCTCGTTAGGTGTTGTTTTGATGTCATACCACTGTTTAACCCGCTCCCATATTGAATTTTCCGCTAAAATAAACAAGTAAAGTATTTTGCAAAGTTGTCAATTAATTCTCTTAATAGAGAATTTTCTCACTCACTCATATCGAAAACCATATAATTATTAGGCAAAGGAACAAAGTTTAAATGTACAAAGATACATATTACAAACATGTAAACAAGTAACCGAAATATAATATTCTTTATTCATCTCTTTTATGTCGTTCAATTCTTACAGAGCAGCACAAAAACTTGCACAAGGCACATCGCTAAAGTCGTCACGCACCACTGACATGTCAGCCAACTCTTCCACACGTAATGGTGGTTTTTGTGGTGCCCTACAAAGAGCACCGCCTCCCATGCCACCCGGTGTGGCTAGACGTTTGGCCAACAAAGAAAATTACGGTCTAGGCAAGGTAAGTGCATATATGTCGGTTATTTATGAAAATTATGTATGAATCTGAATAAAACAGAAAAGAAAGGGAAAGAAAACAAGATACTGATTTACAAAATTGCATTACCAGTTGAAGCGGAAACTGTTATGAAAAGAAAAAATGGGCAGTTACTAAATTGTACCTGCTGAGATTGTAATCGCGTTGGTCATGTATGATAAGTAATAAGCTACTCATTTGATTCTTAATAATGAATTATGAAAAACGAAATATGTTTGAGCTTCGTTTGTTTGGTTATGTAATAGGTTAAAGTAATGCTACGTGTAGCAGATGTTCATACAGATGCTGACAATCCACACTTCATGATGGTAGATAAGAAAAAAAGGCAAATTACATTAACCGATCCAGCAGCCATTTCAACCGTGGCTGTATCTACCTCACAAGAACGCGGGCCCATGGTAGCAGCGCCTAAAATGTTTGCTTTCGATAGTCTATTTACAACAGACGATCAACAGGTGAGTCAAGTTTATTAGTTTGCTGAATAACATGTTTACTATAGATTATATAAGTAACTTCTCACATGTCCGTCCTCTTGACTGGACTGAACATAAAAAGCTCATTTCTCTTCATAAATCTTATTCCCTTTTTTTTTTGTTATTTTTTCATTCCACTTTTCGTTAACTTCAGTCTGATGTGTGTGCTTCGGCTTTGTCGGAGGTAATACCAGCAGTTTTGGAAGGCTCCGATGGTTGTTTGCTTACCATTGGTTATCCTAATTCCGGTAAGTTCTATAATTGTTTGCCTGCTCAACCTTGATACGGAAGTTGCAATAAATTGTTTTTGCACGTTTTTGCAATTCATTACTTAACGTACTTGTACTGTATGCTTATTTCGCACGTGATGTTTTGTTTATCCCACGACCAGGCCAGACAAAAACAATGTTAGGTACCGTTAATCCGCCCAGTGAACTAGGTGCTATTCCATGTGCAATTTCTTGGTTGTACAAGGGCATTAATGAACGACGTCAAAAAAGTGGCGCTCGCTTCTCTGTGCGAGTTAGTGCTTTGGGTGTGAGTGCCACTAAGCCAGATTCAACGCCCAAGGATTTATTGGCCGCTCATGCCACTGGTAAGTTCTATGAGTTGTGTAATCGATTTGCTTCCTTTAAAAAAATGCTTGAAACTATCTCACTTAGATCCTTTTAAAATATGTGAACTCTCCCTGTCTTTTGAACGCTAAGACTTAATAAACTGCGGTCACATTTAAACCAAACACAATTGAACACATGCGACCAAACATATGTATTTAGATATCAAAGACATCTCTCACGTTTTATTTTCTCTCACTAATTTTATCCCACATTTTACACATTTCGACCATCCTACATCAAACCATTATCTTAGTAAAGCAAGCACAATATGACGTAATTTCTTTGTAATTTATCCACAATGCTTTTCTCTTCTGCATGCTTGTTACATGGTTATTTCTTTCTTCGGTCCCTTTACCACACTTGAAATGAAAAACAAATAGACTCTGATGATTCTCCGGGGGTTTATTTGCGGGATGACTTTTTGGGTGGTCCTACTGAATTACGTGCTCCTACTGCTGAGCGAGCTGCCTTGTTCCTAGATGCTGCTTTGACTGGACGACCGCAAGGTAGTCTTGAGCCTGCTATGATATTTACATTACATGTCTACCAGTACAGCTTGTCACGTAAAGGTGGCGGTAAGTATCTGCATTGCTTTACACATCTGCACAAAATGGCAAATTGTTGAAGATGAAGTTATGACTATTGAATATTCCTCTGCTCTTACACATATCCGTGCAAACATTCTTGCACACATTTAAAATTTAATATCTTCATTCATTTTGCATTGCATTACAATTCATTGTTGGTTCGTTTGATCCGATGGGCAGTGGCGGGTGGCAGAAGTCGTTTGCATCTCATTGATTTGGGTGCTTGTGCAAATCGTAATGGTGGTCTGCCGCTGTCCGGTATCGGTAATATATTATTGGCCATTTTAAGTGGTCAACGTCATCCACCCAATAAGGATCATCCATTGACGCCACTGCTAAAAGACTGTCTAGCTCCGTTGACGTGCCATGTCGCCATTATGGCTCATGTTATGCATACACAGGTAAGTAAATGAAAGGACATACTTTCATAACTAATTTCCTATCCTGTGATTCCGATGAGAGAATGTGTTGGATGGAGTGTATGTAGCCTCATGAACGTGCTAATGAATGTTCAAGGGGATAAATTTAATGTATGTTGTCAAAATCCTTTTATTTCGTTCCACAATACGATGATTATTGTGTTTCTATTCATAAATCTCGAACACCTACCTCCCCTAAAAAGGGGAGTTAGTCGGTAGTCGTTACTCTGTGCAATGACTAGGTTTTGCATTTCATAATTTCAGTCGCATACAGATGCTTTAACGACCATACAATTAGCGTCACGCATACATCGCATGCGAAGGCGAAAACATCGATTCCCCTTAAGCGGCAGTGGGGGTGGTAACGGCGCTGATAAGTCGGGAATGAATGGTTTGCAAAGTGGATTAAATGGTAGGTTGGTGTTTTTTAATTAATGAGTGCATATGTGCATCTGAAATCTGCACAGGCCATCAATCAACCGGATCTTCGGCTGGTTCAGGTGCTGACCCCTCTAGTTCAGAGTTGTCGGCCGACACAGTAATTTATATGGGACCTAGTGATGATGCCACTGATGGTGAGCACCCTCCAGTTTATCTTCCTTCTTTAAGTAGTGGTGATAATCGTGGAGTAATGAGTAAAGCGTTAAAGGGCAGTGGCGTAGAAAAGCAACAGCCTAGTCCTAGTAAGGTGCCAGGTGCAGCAAAAAAATTAGTTAATTTGAAGGGTAAGTTTCAGATTTTTTAGTTTATCTATAACTCAGAGATTACCGTCGAAACATTTAACCTCCAAAGCCCCCCAAAGTCCTGTTGCGCAGGTACGCTCTGGAAGTTTTAATCGCAATCTAACAAATCAACAGCAACCGCCTAATCAAGTACAACCCCTCCCCACTCCTTCAGCAAGTAGCAACGAACAACAACCCCAATTTTTCTCACCTGTACATAGTGTTAAAACCTTGTCACATCCTAACTCTTCCCCATTACGTCACGTTGGACTTACTATGATGTGTTCGAAGGGTTCAAATGTACCCACGCCAAAAGGTTCTCCATTGCGACGACCCGGGGTTGGGGGCACAAACGAAACCTTGGAATGTAACGGAAGTCCTATGCGTCAGGTTAGTGAAGAGCAGTGGGTTGACGGTCCTCGTATATCACGAGCCAAGGTAGCTGAAGCTCGACACTTGTTAAGGGAAGTAAATCACGTCAAACAATGTGAAACTTGGATAGATGGCCCTAAATCACAATCAAGTCGTTCTTTGACGGCTGGCAATTTGCCAATCGCTCCGTCTCAGATTCAGGGCTATGGTTTTATGGATTCACATAAAAAGTCTATGATACGTCAATGGGTTGAGTACCAAACCTCACAAGTCTTCCAGACCGCTTCGGCCGGATCGTCGCCCACCCATCATCATAGAGAGCAGCAAGCGCAACATTTACGAAACATTACCTATCATATGGCTCAACTGAAACAAAAATCATTAGATAATCCTGACGATTTATATGCAACCAGTACAAGACAATTGCAACCACAAAGTCTACAGCATCAGCAACAGCAACTGCTACTGAATAATGACCAGCATTTATTGCGTAATAGTCAACTGGAATTGATCAATTCCATCGCCACGGGTCTGACCACAGGCGTTAGTACAACCAATACTTCAGCACCAGCCGAAATAAGAGGAGCGCAACATTACCGACAAAATTCCGCCCAAACCCATCCACCTCTTGGCACACACTACATATCCGACAACAATTTTGTCAACGAAGAAACCGAATTGCATTCAACGCATTCGCTGCACACAGCTCACACGGTCGGTTATGGCATATTAAATAGTCATCAGATGCAACAAACGCAGCAACAACATTACATACCAACAACATCAGCTTCCGACACTGGTCATGCATTGCACACATTGAACTCGCAGACAAACGCAGCTGACTGTGATGAAGATCAGGATAGTGGGCCATCTGAGGTGCCACCAGCTTTGCCGCTTATTGAGCCGCTAGGTTCCCGCGAAATCTCGCACGAAAGTCTGCATCGTATATTATCGCGTCATGTATCACGTGAATCTCTTTATCAACAACAGCAACAGCAGCAAGAGCTTAGACGGCAAGAGGACCATTTAGCACAGCAGCAACAGCAACCCCAATTATCACGTCGGTCAAAGAATCATTATTCACAACAATCGCATAGCAGTAGCATGGGCATGTCCGACTGTGCATTGCAAGTAACGGAAGAGGAAATAGCGCGCACTATGGCCGGAGGGTAAGTAAAAACGGCAAAAGCAGCGAAAACATCTACAATAGTGGATGCATGTGCATAAGAGTAAGATAAAATCAATTTATTTCTACGTGCTTGTGTTTGCATTTACAGCGAACATCCATTAGCTGCTTTAAGTCACTGCGAAAATATGTCTATTGTCTCAAGTTTTCATGCGGCTGGTGATGCGTTTAGTGATTGTGCAATGGGTGAAAGAACGAGGTAAGCACTGCTGCACGAATAATTAATTTACTAGCTTTAGAAAAGGAAAAAGACCATAATATTTCGACTACCTTGTCAAATGTACAATTCGACAGGAACCAATTCGATCAACTAGCGCGTTTACGTGAGATATTTACATCACAGCTAGCTATGGCGGAGGTGACACCAGTATTCCGTACCGGTTGCGATGTGGGTAGTGTATACAGTGAACCTGCTTACCGTTTCAATACTGGACCTGGCAGTGTATGCAGTGAACCACCTTATCGGCCTCCAACTCCGAGGTAAATGACAAACAAAATGCAAATCGCTAATGAAAATCTTCTTCTTAATATTGAACGAATTATAAACACTGGAATGGGCTATCATAACGTTTTATTTATTCATTTGTTTTTTTCTTTATTTTTTAGACAGCCCTCCCGAAGTCCCAGTCAGGGAAGTGTGCCTAGTTTGAATGGTATTATGCAAATCGCTGGTATGGAACAATATGCCTCCCTTCGACATCCAGATGGAGCTTCCGATCCCAATCTACCTAAGTTAGAAAAACCGTTTAGTAGCGCAGAACATGATAATATAGGCGAAGTGGATGAAAAATCTGCTTTACTCACCAACTCGAAGAGGCCCTCCTTTGAACCTGATGAGGAGCAAGATGATGTTGTTCTAACTCAATTATCTACTTCGCTCCAGTTAGCCAATCAATCACAGTTACCTTTGTTGCCTTTGAATACCTCATCAGAAGCTTACGATAGTGGCCACGATTCTTCCACACCAAGAACTTCTAAGCATTCGGGTATTTCACGCAGAGCCGAAAGCGGCTATCACAGTGTGGCCACCGCACGTGACAGTGACGAGAGTAGCTTCACTTCAGGCTTATCGAAAGAGCATCACAATCGTATAGTAGTGAAGAGAAAGCAAAAGGACAAAGGTTTGTGCACTTGGTTGATGAATCCATTCACCTGTACTTATCCAGAAACAGAGGGAGAAGTAAGCGATTTTTAAAATGGAGAAGACTTGAAAAATCTCCAATTTTATCCCAAAGAAAGAACCCACCAATAATAATTGCATTTAGATTTGTAAAGTGGCCAAATTTTTATTTGTATGTTTTTACGAGTGTTACAATATTATTACAAACAGTTTTTAAAAATATTTTACAGTTCCGTTAGGGGTAAACAAATGACTGAGAACGTTTATGTTTTTCGATTTTGTTTATTTTTATTTATTTATTTATTTATTTTTTTCGTTCTTTTTTTTGTTTTAATAGATATGAGTAAATAGATATAGGAATTAGGGGAAAAATATTAAAATTTTCTTATGGTAAATAGAAACTAAAAATGTTTGCAAGCTTTACGTTGTTCAGCAAAGCCTGAAATATATGTTTAGAAGCTTTTGCTTTAGCTATAAATAAACTATAGGCACAAAATAGTGAAGCATGGGCATAAGTGAGATTCTATTTTAATATGTAATAAGGAAAATAAATTTCGAGTCGTTTTGTTGAAACGTGCTTCCCGTGTATGTCTACCATTCGTTGCTTCTTATGTTTCCGCTACGAGCAATTATAAGAAAATTTAGAAAAATCTATGTGTTACGTAAAAAATATTCAACAAGCCTTTCTAGCAAGAAAGATGAGGATTAAGTAGCTTCTCGTTAGCAATTTAATCTCCAATCGCAATCGCTTTTCATTTTATCTTTTGTAAATTATCTCCGGCTCTATTCCTTTGTGCTATCCTTTCTTTATAATTTCACAAAAACGTTGACAAATTAAGTCTACTTAACAGTTATGTTATGCTGTAGTAGCTTTCTACGCCTACTTATACATTGAAGTAAACTACAAATTTTATATACTTAAGTACCGTAATTAGAATAAAAATATATTGAAATATGAAATAATTTTGTTGCCAGTTTTTGCCTGTTTAAACTATGTTGAATAGATTACTAAAGTTATTATATTGATTCCATAGAAAACAAAAAAAAATAAATATATATTATATATATATATATATATATATACATATATATGTATATACATTAATAATAATAATAATAATAATTGAAATGCATATACAAAAAAAAAAAAAAAAGGAAAAGGGAACGCGTCATGCCATACATAAGAACTTAAACGTATTATGATACATTTATTATAATAAATTAAATTTATTACAAAACAAAAAAGTCAATATGATTTTAACACGAATTTGGCGTATACAAGCCAACGCGTACATATTAAAACAGACACATATACACAAACACATAAATACAAATAAACTCAAATATACATACATACACATATGCATGCATAAATTTCAACTAAAAACCATTTATAAATATAATTATAGCTCATAACACAGTAATTTAAATGGCTAAATTATTATAAATAATTGAAAATTATAAAAATAAATAAATATATATTAAATTCCTCTTCACATTCAGCAACTTGAACATCTCTTCAACTAGCTTTTATGCTGGTTTTCCGAAAGAAAACTCACTTAAAATTCCTGTCAGTATTTTCTTAATCTTTTTTTTTTACAAATTCTTTAAATTATTATAAATGTGTAAATAAATTAAGACATAAAAAATTATTGGAAAATATTACATAAAATAAATGCGATAAAAAAAAATAATTTTATAAAAATAAATTTTTAAAAGATAGTTTTATTATTTATTCGATCGCTTCCCTAATAGAGTGGACTTTTGAAGTATTCCTCCTTCGAGGAAAGCGAACGTAGCACCATAACAGCGTAATATTTTTAAATATTGAGAAATGTGAAAGCAAGTACTGCGTCTTCAAACGGCATTTCTATAAAAGCTTACGTGTGCCGGATTTCATCAATATCTCACTGGTCAATCATATATAACTTATGAGCTTTTCACTAAGAGGAAAAAATGAACAGAGGAATTTCAGTAAAAATTACCCGGTGAAAGTAATGCCTACTATGGTCTGCCGAAAAAAAAACAGGTTGCCAAGAAGGGTGAAGTTGACTAAATGCATTCTGATGTCGATCAAGAAAATATAATTACGATATCCGTTTATCGGGAAAGTTTTCAAACGGCAGCAAAAGAAAAAAAATTGGGCAAAAGGTCAGACTTGGTCTAGTCTATTCGCATGCTGATCAAAAAAATGATACTGTACATGGTTATCTAGTATATGGCAGCAAGAAGAACAAAGGTTTGACAGAAGGAAAGACTTCGTCTACTTTATTCCAATGCCTATCCAAAAAGTGATGTTGTCTGTAAAAAGAGAAGAACAAAGGTTGGACGGAAGGATAGACTTGGTCTAGTTTATTCTGAAGCCTGGTAAACAAATGTTATTCTAAGAATCTATCAGGAGGAAGCTTAGGCATGACGATCTCAATCCTTACACGAAACAAGTTTGGATGGAAGGGCGGATTGGACTAAAACGCTTTTTACGCGACGCTGAATATGTCATTGTATGAGCCTATGCGATGCAGTGTTTTCATCACAGGTTTTGTGCAACAAACGAAGAGCAAAATTTATGCTGATAAATTGCCACAAGCAACATAACAACAGGCTGCTTGAGCGGTGGATAACAAAATTGTTATTGATAATAAGTTAAGCAAAATTGCCGTAACTTCATAAGTTTCGCCCAAGCATATAATAAGATAATCGCAGAATATTTGTCGTTTGAAAAACAGCAAGAACAACTTGCAAAAATTAGAAAAATTAATTCGGCAGAAAGGATTATTAAGAGCATTTTACGCATTTTTAATCAGTTATGCTGGAATGAATTATTACTGAAGTACCTTTAACTTAAGGTATGCATATGTATATATATATATATACATATATATATACTTTTTTCTTTTTTTTTTGTGGAAATTGATCGATTGAATAAATTTACTAAAATAACTTAAAAGTTATGCGATTGATTAAATCAGATAACTCTCGAGCAATGCAAATAAACAAGTAAGCCGTCCGTTATATATACAATAAATATAAAATTCATGGCATCTGTGCCAGCAGCAAATTGTTAATATAAATTATATCAACAATATACAATGCACAAATGTATGTATATATATATAAACAAAAGACTGATATATGCATGAATGAATAGAATGAAATGAATGAAACATATAACTGGTAAGCGAATACACACACGGATGTGTGACAGTAAATTAGTGTGTATATATATATATATATATATATGTGTGTGTGTGTTTTGTTCAGAGTGATGGTGAATGGAGCGCAAAGCAATGAAAGCCACTGAATTATTGCTGCTGTCAAATCGGCAAATTAACACTTGCGGCACACAATCAAAGAGAGAAAACTAGTAAAAATAACACACGCTTGCCTACGTACAAATATTGCACGCGTATGCGTATACGTAGTTCTATCCAAAAAACCCATAGCAATAATTTAAACAAATGTGTTATATAATAATATATGTGTGAGTTAAAGGATAATTTGCATATTTTCGGTGTATATACACCAAACTCTCCAAATAAGCCGTACATACGCTTCGCCGTGTATGTGCATGTGTTTGCATGCATATGAAATCACAAATTCCATAAACGTTTTGCAGTTAAATAGCCACGATATATTTATTTAATGCAGTGTAAATGCGAGCTAGCATGTGTGTGTCTCTCACTCTCTTTCTGTGTATATATGTTTGTATATGTGTGTATGTGTGTGAAAAGCGGCTCCGGTAATAATAGTAAATATAACACAACACAATATAACACAAATACCAATAACACCTTCAATGTTAACTAGACAGGCGGGCCGAAAGACAGATAGATAGACAGAGAGAAAGACAGACAGCCAGTACATAGGAATAAATAGGCAGACAGTTCGCAATGCAGTTATGCATTACACTGTGAAAATAAGATATTATGATTATACTTATGTGCATGTCGGTCGTGTTTTCGAATGTTGTTTTCTTCTTTTTTTTTTTTTTTTTTTGCCGAACACATTACTTATGTGTGACGCAAACACACATATACAGAATTATATGTGTAGGCAAACGTAAAACATACGTTAACATAATACTGTCTATGAGAAAACATGCAAGCAAATGCATTTTTGCTTAAATGAATGAATAAATGAATGAATGGTTAGTTGGTCGGTTGGCTGATCAGAATAGCAAAACTGCACAGATCCTTATTTATATATATATATATAAATATGTTGTTTTATCTATATCAGTATGTCGGCTTGTGTGCTTGAATATTTTTATTATATTGGCATTACAAGTCATTGCCGCACATAATATCGATTGCAAGGTGACAATAATTTATTACACCTTTGGGTGAATACAAATTCGTTTTTTTGCCTACATATCCGGAGAGAAAGCGGACCCGAACGCTATAAATATTGTAATTTTTTTAATTCTCTCTAAACTAACTTTCCCTATAAAATTTATGCATCGTTTTTAATATTTTAAAATGAATGATAAATGTTGATTACGCTTAGTTTTGATAGGTTTTTGTAAAACTCTTTTCATCCTTCGATTGTAGTTTAGTTTCATTTGTCATAACTTCTCTACAGTATAAAAGAGTGAAGGAAGAAGGTTTTCAAGTGTATGCAACCTTAGCTTATGTAAGAAGATTTATAAAATAATTGGAAGAACCACAGATATAACACATACAGTAGTAGCAAGCGCATGCTAGGGGGTTTCTATTCTATACAGCCTGACGAAAAATCTCCAAAATATATGTTTGTCTATTTTAACCTTTAGGTTTTATACTCTTTACAAAAACGACTTAAAATGTGGAATATTTTCACTCTTTCCTCCTCCGACCCTTCAATTTCTTATATTTGGCCACCTTCTCTCTCTATTCGACTCTATATATATATCTATATGCTCGTATGCACAAACCACCATGTATGTATGAATATATTTAGAAGTATGAGCAACAGCATGAAAATATTTTGAACATTTTCATCGTCATGATTAACATTATTACAACCATAGATACCGTCTCTAAAATATGCACATATGAATAATACTTACACGCAGCCATGGACATATAGAGAGCACACATTTGTTGATTTTTATATTCGAGCAATTGTTTTTTAGTTCAATTAATTAAACATTTTAAAATAAAAGTCATTCATTTGTTGATATAAAATGTATTTAATATTTAAAATAAAAATCCATAAATTTCCATTAAAGTCCATTAAAATTCATGAAAATTTCGAAATTTCAGACTTACTCTAAAGTATACACATTCCTGGTCAAGTTTTGAATTCGTCTATAAAAAGTCGCTGATAAACACTTTGCTCGAATGATTTAAAATATGGGCTCCAAATTTGGCAAAGCGCAGTAGGTCCTCGCACGCAGCTTGATATGGAGCAAATCGGCACAGTACAGATAAGGCCGTAAAAATGTATTGTATGGCTTTGTTATAGTCGCCTTATCAAAATAAATTGCATATGCCGCGCCCACATAATGTTATAGTGTATCAAAACCTAATTTTTGTTGTCAAAATCCTTGCAATGTCCAGATGAAAGTTTCAGAGATCTAATAAAGTATACATAAGCGTGATCAGTGCTAAATTCGGAGACCAACTAAGCACGTCCATGGGTCCATTCTACTTTCCATATGGCAATCTGTTTAACTTCCGTGGCCATAAAAAGACGTCGGCTCGTAATTTGGCAAAAACATTGAAAATCCCTGGCCACAGGCAGGATCTTATCGGGCAAAAGACATCTCCTAAATACAACGTATACTGAGAATGCCTCCATTTTCCAAAGCGACAAGGTTTATCCCTAATGCATATCCTAAACTATATCCATGCATATTCTATAAGCAATCCTACTCTACTCTATAGAAAGACGGAAAACATCTACTGCTATGTTTCGTTGAAGCGACCAGAAGGAAGATTCAGATTTCTGATAATTTTCATCCCTTTTCTACATAAACAAAAACAATCAATGACACCTAACAGCGATAATAAAATTTTAGTTTTTCTCGAGCTTCTTTTCTATAAATAAAAGTGATTTTCAAATCTGAG